CTCCGCCGCCCGCCGCCCGCTCCGCCGCCTCCCGCGATTGCGAGGAGAGGTTGGAGGCCGGCTCGGCGCTGAAGTCCTGCAGGATCCGCAGCGTGTGTTTGCTGGGCCAGCGCGGGGCGGCGCGGGGCGGCGCGGCGGGTGGAGGGCAGGAGCAGCCCGGGCGGTTTTCGGCTCCGCGGCGCTCCAGGCGAGGCAGCAGGTCGATCATGATGTGCATGGTGCAGGCGACGAGGAACACCATGAGGATCAGCACCCGGAACTTGCGGACCAGGAGCATTTTCATGGCCGGGAGCGGCTGATGAATTAGCGGGGGAGGGAAGGAGGGGAGGCGGCGGGGTCGGCCGGCAGCGGGCGCGGGTCTTCCGCCCTCCCCGGGGCTCCGGCGTTCTGCTGGCGGGTAGGGCAGCGAACGATCAAGTCAATAAAGTTATCTCCATAGGCGCCGAGACAGAAACAGGCTAAAAGCGATAGGTCCTCATTTCTCAGTATCATCAAGAACTTGGGAGGGGGGGAGGGAAAAAAAAAATCGGGGAAAAAAAAATGGGAAAAAGGAGCCTTTAAAATCAATAGGAAAACAAAGCCAGCGGCATTGCGATATCTAGAGCCATCTGTTCGCGGTTTCTCTTGCTTTTTATTACGGGGATCACAACAAATAGCGAGAGCTGGTTCTGAAGGAGAAACCCGCGTCTGAGGCTGGCTGCGATTAAATCATCATCGTTCAAAAAATGACGGGAAGAAGGGGGGAAAGAAGAATATTAAGAAAACCTGTACGGAAAGGAGACAGAAGGAAAAAAATCATCCATAACGTTTGGCAGTGCAGGAAACGCTGACTCCTTCCTTTGAATGCGCCCAGTGATGCAGCAGAAGCGCTCTCTGCTCGCTCCCTCTCTTCTGTGAGACTGCTTAAGAACATTGGCTGCAAAATCATTTTCTCCGAGCGGTTCCAGTTCCTTCATCCATCGCTTTGTCCGCTGCTCGGGAGAGATGAGCGCTCAGCTGAGATCTAGCCGGGGTGGCTGCTGTATCCGAGCTGCGCTTTGCCTTTGGCGTGGGTTGGGTTTTTTTTGGCTGCAAAACTGTCGGATGGCACAACTGTAACATAAAGGTTAAATATGGCACAGGAAAAAAAAAGGAAGGGGGGGGGCGGCGCCCCCGCCGGGGAGGAGGATTAGAGGAAAGAAACTAATAGAATTCGGTAGAGGTTCTTTATAGCAAAGAGGTCCCGGCTTTGATCTCTGCTGGGTCCTGCAGATCTGCCTTTAGAGAAAGGAAGAGAGGAAGGGGGGGGGGGGGGGAAAGGGGGGGGAGGGGGAGAGCTGCTTGGCAGGTGCAAGAGTGGAAACCTCTTTCAGCCACACTGGATTCTGGAGACGGGTTGGACGGGTAGCTCTGCAGCTCCAGCTTCCAGTGGGTGTGTTAAATATTATGAGCGAGCCATGATTCCTGCCTTCCTCACGTCACAGTTAGGAGATTGGCTAAATAAACGCTACAGTGATAGTAACAGGAAAACCTCAACCAAAAGTGTTTTATTTTTTTTCTCCTCCTCTCCTCCCTCCTTCCCACCCCCACCCCCACCCCCCCTTTCATTCTACTGCAGCTCCAACCGGAGCAAGGAGAGGGCGTCTGTTCCACAAAGGTTTGCAAAGTAAAATTAAAAAAAAATAAAAATATATTAATAAAAAAAAAAAAAAGAAGAAGAAGAAGCAGAAGAATACAGTAACCGAGCGGCGGCTGAGAGGGGAATCTGCAATAACGTTGCAAAGTGTTGCACGCGAAGTGCTGCGGGCTGCGCTGGGGCGCCGGTTGCGCTCCGTCATTGCCGGGGCTGCAGGGCGGCACGCGGCTCCCCTCGCGCCGTAGCAAAGTCAGGGCGGAGCGCCGCGCGCTGCTTCCTCAGGACCGGCGGTCTTTTGTAATCCCTCGTCCCGTGGGTTGTGATAATCCCGAGGTAATCTGCTCTCTGCCTGCTGGTGCTGCTGGCCCCAGGGCAGCTCCCGGCGGGTGGTGGGAGTGGGTGCTGGAGAAAGGGATGGTTCGCTGAGGCCGGGGTGGGGTGGGCGGGTGGTCGGGTGTGCTCCGGGCTGCTGGCTTTGTGTGTGGCACGAGGCTCCTGTGCTCCTTAGCGAGGCTCAATAAGCATTATGTGGGGCTGCAGCAGGAGAGATAAAGGTACGTGCTTCTGCCCAGCCACCACCACCTTTACATGGAATCATGGAATGGCCTGGGTTGCAAAGGAGCACAACGCTCATCCAGTTCCAACCCCCTGCTGTGTGCAGGTCGCCAACCAGCAGCCCAGGTTGCCCAGAGCCACATCCAGCCTGGCCTTGAATGCCTCCAGGGATGGGGCATCCACAGCCTCCTTGGGCATCACCAGTTCATCACCACCCTCTGAGTGAAATTCTTTGCACACAATCCTCTCAAAGCTGATTGGGATGGCTCGTTTTTCTCAGGATTAACCAACACTAAATATTGCCTCCCCCGTTCAGAAGTATTTTTTACCTCAGGATCCATCAAGCACCATTCCCTCACTGGGAGCTCCTGCAGGGCACACTGTGCTCCCCTGGAACACATCCGTGTGCTGACAGCAGCACTCTGCTCTGCAGAAGGGAACTCACAGCTTCTCTAAGGGGCAAAAAATAAAAATAAAAAAATTAAAAATAAAAGGCCAGGAAACAAAGGTTGGACAGGGCCATCACCCTATGTATGCGTGCCTTTGTGAGGAGCAAGACCTACTTGCTGTCTTGAGGGCCATTTTGGTACCCAGGTTCAGAGACAGTGCTTTGATATCCATTGTGTCACCCAGGACTCCTCAATATGTGTGCCTGATGACAGCAAAAATCCCCATTGTGGAACCAGAAGCAACGCTTCCATCTTCTGTGTTTTCACCAAGGTAAGTTCAGCTAAAGGGCAGCTATGAGGATGATCACAAACTGTCATCACGTGCTTTTGCCTTCCACTGCTGCTCAGTAACACACAGGTATGGTTGGCAGAGTAGTTTGGGCTGTAAGTTAACTGCTTTTCCATGCAGAAAGCTGAAACCCAACTTATTTAACCTAGATTAGGAAGTTAGCATTTTAGGTCCTCCGGGAAAAACACACAGCTTGATTTCAACTGAGGAACACACCTCTACTGGAAGGAGTGTGATATGCAAGGGGGGGTTCATCAGGAATTACATGAACAAGAGCACTTGGTTACAATTTTCTGCCTACCACTGGCTATAGGCTTTCTCCTGCTCAGCGTGGCGTGCTCTCCTTTGGGCCACCAGCTGTGCTGCATTAGCCATCAAGGCCAGGAAGACAAAAGCAGGCAGCTGGGGGTTAGGAGCTTTTATGGATGTGATGGAGGAGAGCAGGCAGAGGTGGTGCTCCAGAGGAGGTGAGTGCGAGTCATGGTTCAAGCGTGTTCCCTTTACTACTGTTTGCTCTCAGAGGTTCTGAGCAAGTTGTTTGGAACTCTTTGGGGTCTCTGTGAGGTAGGAGGGTGCAGTGTGTTGTTTGCTTTGAGCGGCCCAGAAGGGTTTATGGGGTATGGGCTGTATTTGCAGTGTTCTCCCCCTCTGGCCTGAGGGGACATGGCTTAGCAGGCACCTGGCAGGTGGAAAAACACTGAGATGTGAAGTTGAAGTTGTTTAAATGCATGTGGTATTTTGCAGAAACAAAATGCTGCATTAGGCATATCATAACTGCGTGTTCCAGAGTTATGTAAGGGAAGTGAGATTGGCTTTAACGTCTAATGCAGAAAATTAAATGTAAGTAATTACATGGCTTTTGAAAGGTGAAGTAAAAGCACAGTATCATGAGCAGGTAAATGATTCCTTGAAATTGCTTGTTGTTCTCATCAGAAGGACCTTTTGTGAATACTAGTTATTAAGCATGGTTTTATCCAGATCGTATCTACTTATGGACTGAATCCTGTTCTGGACTTCTTGGTCCTTTTGTTCCTTTCAAGCAGTACAGGTCTGTGTGGGGGTTGGAGGCTGCTTGCACGTATTCACTCTGCAGCTGGACATTGTGGATTGGTTTTTCCAGGACTGAAGCTCCCTGGAGATGTGCATGAAGAAGAGCTGCTTAATTCTTTACACTGCTTTCAATTTCTTTGGTGGCTTTCCGAAGAGCTTTTGCTCTTTTGCAACATGCGCTTCTTTGAGTGACTCTTTTTTTAGTGTAGACAGCACCCATATGCTAGTCAAGGTGTTGAAATAGCAAGCAACACCAGCTGGAGAATCTCCTCTGAGGATCCGCAATAGAGTTATGACTCTACTCACCTGCACCTAATTGCTTTGAGATGTTGCTCACCTGTGGTCCTGGCCTTTCTGTGAGCTCTGGGATTTACTGCACACTGGTTAACTTGGGCTGCCTCCTGGAGTTCTCCATTCCCATTGTCAGTCTGTGGGTGTTTTTTCCTTACATTTTTTTTCCTCAGTATCTTTCAAGCTCTGGACTTTCCCAGCAGGGATGAGCAGATGCTGTTACCAGGATCAAATTTTCCTTTGGTATTCTTAGTCAATGCTGTGAGAGACTTTAAAGGGGGAGAAAAACATCAGGTAATTCTTTTTCTTGATTTCAGTATCTACAAATGCTTCATTTCACAGGTGACCACACTGATGAGCGAAGAGACTCTTATTAATTCTGTAAATAGCACTTTAGGAGGACAGAGCAAGTGATAACCTTGTGTTCGTGTTCCTTTTGGAGGTCCTCCAAGGCTGGTGAGCAGCTTGGAGTTTGGGACATGCTGGGAACCTGAATATCTGCTGGGAGGGCTGATATGACCTGTGACCAGGAAGGCACAGGCTGTGGCTGTATGGAGCTGAAGGGTGAGGCCTGAGTGCAGCCAGGAGCTGGGCTGCACGTCAGCCCAGATGGGAGACTGGACAGCACAAGAGCAAAAGGAGCAGGCAGGGCTAGAGCAGAGCCAGAGAGGTTGAACAAAGCAGGGCTGGGGCAGCCTCCCAGGAGCATCCCATTGCTTGCTATGAGCAAGTGTGAGCGTGGTGCAAGAGCGCTTTGGTGCTGGAGCCCCAGTAAGGAATGGTTGGATTTGAGCCCTATCTCTGTGCCTTGGCACCTTCGCTCCAGCATAAGTGCAGCGTTTGAAGGCAGGGGAGGTAACTGGCAATCAAACGTTTGCCTTTCCAACTTGGAGCTGGTGAGGGAAAATACTGGTTTGGTTTTTTTTTTTGGTTTTTTTTTTTTTTTGGTAACTGGAAAATGTGAACTGGTGTTGAACCTTGTTGAAACCAGCTTTTACCCACAGAACTGATAGGTGCAGAGATGTAGGGCATTTGACGCTGCGTGGTTCGGATGGTTTCAGAAGTTGTTTACTTACTATTTTACCTCCTGAGATCCCAGATTGAGTAATGAAAATGTAAATATTCCTCTGTACCTGTATGGCCTTCAAATGGAGTTCTGCATGTGGCCAACAGCTTTTCATTACTGCTGTGCTGAGTTGGACCAGCGTAACTCCTGTAAGAGCAATGCTGTGTTAACAAGGAAATAACTTCTCAATGTCACAATATTCAATTAAGAAATTATTGCGTGCAGCTCATATTAATAATTTCAATAAAATCGAGTTCCTTGCCATCCACTTTTTCCTCTTTTGACTATTGAGTTAAAATGCCCTTTCTTCACTTTCTTTAAAGGATGTGAATGCTGTTGGAAATGTGACATTAAACCACTACAACCACAAGCCAGGATTGCTTTGGACCTAATGTGCTTTTTCTGATGTTTCAAATTAGCACTTAAAGGCAGAACATGCAAAAATGTGTTGCTTTTATTTAACAATACAATCAAGAATTCAGGGGCAGCAGTCACATCCTGGCATTCCTTCATTGTTTTGTGCACAAATTAATAGCTTTTTCTGCTGGGGAGATTTGTGCCAGCGTTGGTTTCCCCCCCCCCCCCCACTTTGCCTGCTCACCTCACTGAGCAGCAACAATGGTCAGTGTGTGTGATAAAGCATTCAGGTAAATAAGTGAAGCGTGCTTTGGGCTGAGTAAACAGACCTGGCTATTTTGTGTTATAACTGCTTACAGCCTGATGTAAAATCTGAGTGCAGCAGGACAGACCGCAAGGCAGGCCTGGCTGCGTAGCTTCTGTTGATGTGGTTTTGTTGTTCCATCGAATGGGAAAATGGGGTTTC